AAACAGTGATGATCCAAGTGCCAGACCTCAGCCCAGGACATGTGAGAACGAGGTTTTTGATTGGTTTCAATATGTAGCCCAGACTAGTTCCAAACTTTCAATCTTCCTGCCTCAGTCTCCTGGCTGCTGGGATTAAAGTGTGCACTACCAGGCCTTGCTCAGGCAACCAATGCTTTTGATTCCTGAAGAACTTGGGAACTGTGGCTCAAAAAGGCACTGTGGCACACACCCGTAATCCCACTCAGGAGGCTTGCTTCGTGTTCTAGGCCACCGTAAATTACGGAGCAGAGAGCTCCCCATCCTCAGGCACACACTGTATGGGAGTATCAGCTTGCTAAGCCTTCCTTTATCCGTCATTAAAACGAGGTCGGGGCAGCCAGGCAGTGCTAGCAACTACAACACACCGCGGCATCCTCATCAAAGGTTCAGATGTCTGCTGTCTGAGGGAGAACCAACACTCCCCGACTGTTCTGACTTGTATCGTCTTCTTAATCCTTTCATCCTTCAGACATTCACAGGGCACCTCTGGTGGGCAAGGCTCTGGGCTGCCTGGGGACATTAGCATGGGTCCCTGAATCTACTCTCCTGTGGCTAGAGAGGAGTTCAATTCAGGTTGGAGAGACTTTTGTAAAACATCAAGTAATAGAGCCACCAAAGGTCTTCAGTGACACAACACCAGCAGGCCTGGGAAGTGCTCCCATAAACTAGGCCATCTGCACAGGACGGCAAGGACACACACACCATGCAGGCTGGATGCAGCCTGTGCTCCTAAGGGAACTCAGGATGGAACTGCCTTCCATCTCTTCCTGCCTAACCACGCCTAACACCCCGCCCCCAACAAGTGACTTACGTGCCTGTGGGATCCACTGCCACGGCCCGCACCGCACCACGGTGACACAGAGTCTTGACCAGTGGCTCCTTCACAGCTGGACTCCACAAAGACACGGTGCCTGGAGGTAAGAGGAGAATCCGGGTTACCAGAGCGAACCAGCCAGGGCTCTTGCTGTTAGTGGAGGGCCAGAAAAGCACAAGAGAAGTGCGTCAGTCAGGTCAGCACACACGCGCAAAGGGAGACAGGCCGGCTGCTGGAAACACAGTTTGAGACAGGTACTTGTAGAATATCTGTATACTGTGTGAAGGTGTATTACTGTGATTGGTCTAATAAAAAGCTGAACAGCAAATAGCTACACAGGAGGTATAGGCAGGACTTCGGGCAGAGAGAGAACTCTAGGAAGGCAGACACCCAACCAGGCACAGAGAAGCAGCACGGACAGTACGACAGTACTGAGAGATGGGTAACAAGCTTGGCAGTAGGCTCGGGTGGGGTCTATGACAGAACATGGATCAATATCAACGGGCTGAGATAGAAGAGCTAGTGGGACAAGCCTAAGCTAAGTCTGAGCACTCATAAGTCTCCACGTTGTTATTTGGGAGATGGCTGACAAGACAGAAAAAGACTCCTTACAGGACCAGACTGATGTGGGACTCCCCTCTGTATGCTGTGAATACCACTGGTTAGTAAAAAAACTGCCTTGAGCCTATAGCAGAGCAGGGAGTGCAGAGTTAGGCAGGGAAAACTAAACTGAATGCTGGGAGAAAGAAGGGCGGAGTCAAGGAGAAGCCATGGAGCCACCAGAGTCAGACATGCTGAAACTTTGCCAGTAAGCCACAACCACATGGCAATACACAGACTAATAGAAATGAGTTAAGATGAAAGAGTTAGCAGTAAGAAGTTAGTGCTAATGGGCCAAGCAGTGATTTAATTAATACAGTTTTCTGTGCGGTTATTTTGGTTCTGGGCGGCCAGGACAAACAAGCGGCCTCCTCTAACACCAGACCCTGTTTCAAAAAGAAAAAAAGAAAAGCCAGGAACTGACCGTTACTGTGTCCCAGGTGAATCACAGCATTGTAAGGGTTCTGCGCCATGACGCTGAGCCGGCCAGCCCGAGCATTGAGAGCTGTCACAATCTTCCCCACTGACACATCCAGGTAGGTCAGAAACCCTGTCTCTGACTGAGAGGGAGAAAGAGATAGATGTCCAGCTGCCCAGTGTCCCTCTGCTGGTCCTAAAGGAGAAAGCTCCTCCCAAGAGCTGCCACGGGGCCCTCTGCTCCACAGCCACTCACAGCGGTGGCCAGGAGGAAGTGGAAGGGGAGGAATTCAAGTCGAGTTACTCGGTCACAGCGACGGATGCAATGGAGCTCAATGCCCTGGTTGTCGTAGATGTAAAGCCAGCGGTTCTGAGCCACAGCGAGCAAAGTCTCAGAATGGAGAAAGCTGGGTAGAAAGGGGAAGGAGTTCCATGGAGCCAGGACCACAGGGCATCACCCAGTTGGGAACAGCCGACCCACTCCCATCGACTGCTAGCAGAGGGAGCACTGACTGGATGTCCCGCACTGCTTCCATGACGTTGATCTCACACATGAGCTTCTTTGTCACCCAGTCGAGGGCAGCCACATGACCCCGACGACCTCCTAATGCCAGGTGTCTGTGGAGGTGAAGCAGAGTTGACTCAGGGGGCGCCCTGACCTGACGGGGGAATCATTCGGTCAGCCCCGCCCCAGCCCCTCCACAGACGGAGGAAGCGATGCAACAAACAGACGTGCACTGCATAACTGAGGCGGACACAGCTCCTGCAGCTGAGGAAATGCAGCCACACGAGGTCACGAGTCACAGCAGGGGGATGGCTCAGTCAGGGAAGAGCTTGCCACAAAAGCACACAACCTGAGCCCAGATCCGGGCCACACGTGTAATCCCAGCGCCAGGGAGGCCAAGGAAGACAGATCCTGCTGGACACAGTCCAGGCGGCCAACAAGCTCCAGGTTCAGTAAGGAACCCGCTCAGCAGTAAGGTGGAGGACTAAAGAGACTGCTGAGCAGTGAGCACCTGCCGCTCCTGTGGAGAACACTGGCTTCAGTTCCCAGCACCCACACATCAACTCACAAACAAACCATCTGTAACCCCGATTCCTAGGGATATGATGCCCTCTTCTGACATGATGTTTACACATGCAGGCGATACACTATTTGTAAAATAGTAAAAACTTAGAAATGCTAAAAAATAAAGTGGAGGTCCAGCAAGAAAACTCAGCGGCCGGAAGCACTTGCGGTGTGAGCCTGGTTAGGGTAACCTGAGTTTGAACTCCAGACCCACACACAGGCAGACAGAGAGAAAACTTCAGCATGTCACGGCCATGCATAGGCACACTCATACCCGATAAACAGAAGAGAAACCGGAAAGCAACACAAAAAGATGGCACATAGACCTCTGGAAATCACACGCATACACGCCTGTGTGCAGGTACACCAGCAAGTGAACAGGCACACACTAAGTCACTGGAAGCTGAGCTGCCGAGGGTGGGTGTGGCTCAAGAGTCAAGTGTGTGCCTTGAAGGCACATACAAGGGCATGGGTTCCAAATCCAGAACCATAAAAAAAAGCTCAACTCCCTCCAGCTCACGCTGTGATGATCCCCCAGAGCTATAGGTCAGAATCAACCCTTCTTCCCTAAAAAGGGGACAGGGGAGGTATAGGAGGCAGCGCAGAGAGACAGAACAGAGCTGGGACTGCGCACACGTTGCAATCTGGGTGTCCTGTACATGCCTATAACCCCAGCACCAAAGGAAAGGAAGACAGGATGACCACAGGGAACCTGAAGGCTTCCTGGTTAAGAAAACACAAGCCCTGCCAGGCGGTGGTGGTGCACACCTTTAATCCCAGCACCTGGGAGGTAGAGGTCTCTGTGAGTTCAAGGCCAGCCTGGTCTACACAGCAGATCCAGGACAGGCTCCAAAGCTACAGAGAAAGCCTGCTCTCTTCTGGCCTCCGTGTGCACACATGCATACACACAAATCACTAAGTCCTTCTTCAGAAAGAGGGACGGTCCACTGGAACTCAGCCTTACCTCCCTGTTCGAGAGTAGTTCAGTCTGTAGGGTCCAAACTGCCTCAGGTTCAAGTCGAAGTGCTGCGAGTGGGTGGGAAACAAATTGAACGAATGAAGGAGGCCAGGCGGTCTCCTGGGCCGCTCTTCCACCTCAGGCTCACCTTGGCAGCGCTTGCAATGTCCACGGCCTCCACGATGTCTGTCTGCAGTATCTTGGCTGTGTCTTCGCCATCTTCTCCTTCCAGGAACCTGAAAGGCAGTTAGGACGACAGGGACGCTCTCTAGCATGAAGCTGGCATCCAAACACGAAAATGCAAAATCAAAGTCCCAGAAAAACAGGGTAGGAGAGCGCGGGTCCAGCACCACTCACCCAGGTTCCTCAGCAAGCAGCAGCTCGGCCCGGGCAGCTCTGACGCTTGCCTCCTCCTCCTGCGCTTCAGCCGTCTCAAGTTTGGTGCGGGTTTTTGGCTTCGAATGGGGGAGCTAGGGTATTGTCAACAGGGTTGGAAGAGCCGCTGAGCACCTGCGGGGCCCCAGCAAGGCCACCAGCCGGGCCGCCCTGCAGTCCCGCCCCACAGTCCGGCCCGTCCTCACCTTCTGGGACTTGTCAATGCGGCAGAACTTCCGGGCCACCTCCGCGGGCGCGGGGGCGGGTCCTGGGAACGGGTCCTGGGCCTGGCGAGGGCAAGGAAGGCAAAGGGCAGGTTCCGATCGACCCGGTTCCTCTCACCCGCACTGCCCCCAGCCCCGTCGGTCCCAGGCTCACCCCAGACAGGGTCCGCCGCGGCTTCTTCCGATCCGAGGCGTTCTTGGGGGCTTGGGGCTTCCGGCAGAAGTGAGACTTCGGGGCGCCGCGCACGCCCTTGGACCTCGGGGGTCGCGGCTCCCGAGCCCTGGCCTTCTTCCGAGGCGGCCCCGCGGGGGCGGCGGCTGGGGTGACCTCCTCCTCCCAGTACCGCCGCGGTTTCTAGGGGCAGAGGAGGAGCGCTAGCACTCGCAGCCCGACCAGGAGCCCGAGCCCCATGGCGCCCGCAGCCTCCCACCCAGGGCGCTACCTTCCTCTTGGCCTGAGGGCTGTCCTTCTTGGGTGGAACACCCTTGCCCGGCTTGGGGGCAGTCTCCATCTCGGTGAGCGACGCGAAACAACGACCCACGTGTGGAACTCCCCTCAGCAGACCCACAGCTAAGAAACTTCCGGCCTTCGTCCAATCATCGCCGTACGGGATCTGAAGCCTCTGGCGCCATCTTGTGTGAAGGCAAACCTCCGCGAGCCTCTAGGAGCCGGTAGGGTCGCCCGAGGGGCAGCTTCTGACCAAATGATGACTAACAGGAAAGTCCGGGTCCAGAATCCTGGTAACGGTGAGTTCTTTTTTGCCAGATTAACTTCTCTCTCTTGCCTAAAACCTCTCGGGTCTAGCCCTTTCGGTAGAACGAGTGTCACACAGGTCAGAACTACATATCCCGGCATGTGTCAGAATGTGGCTTCCGGCGCCGTCTTTCTCCCGGCATGCCTTGTTTACTTCCGGGTTTATTAAGACAGTGGGTCTAACGTGAAGAGGTTAGGGTTTGACTTGGAGGATTCGGGGTCTGCTTTCGCTCTCCAGTTCCTAGGGAGTGGCTGCTCTGGATGAGGAAAGGCTGCGGTGCCTCAGAGAGCTGCCAACAGAAAGTGCTGTCCCTCCGCAGGGCCAGAAAGCGGAGCCCAGGTGCCTTCCATCGCTTGAGAGCCAGCGACCCCCGCCCTAGGCTTTCATCTTCACCATGGCTGAGCTGATCCAAAAGAAGCTGCAGGGAGAAGTGGAGAAATACCAACAGCTGCAGAAGGGTAAGAGCAGAGCTGGCGCGGTCTTGCCCCTTTCCGCTCTCAGCTCAAGCACCCCGCAGTGGGAGGGAGCCTCGTGCCCCTCGCCTCGGCATCCTTGTTCTATCCTCACCTCCAGCCTCTCCGGGATTGTGCGAGTCTTGGCCCATTCGCTGTTTTTAATCATGCGTTTCCTCTCACCACCTCAGACTTAAGTAAATCCATGTCAGGGAGGCAGAAGCTTGAGGCCCAGCTAACAGAAAATAATATCGTGAAGGAGGTGAGGATCTGGGACGCTGGGGCCAGGAGGAGCTCTGCTGGGCACGGTTATCCCATAAACCCTCCCATCCCCTCTTCAGGAACTGGCCTTGCTGGATGGATCCAACGTCGTCTTTAAGCTGCTGGGACCCGTACTTGTCAAACAGGAGCTAGGGGAGGCTCGGGCCACGGTGGGGAAGAGGCTAGACTATATCACAGCGGAAATGTAAGTGCCTTGCCGCCCTGCGCTGGCATTTCAGCGCAGAAGTGTTGAGCCCGGGCTGGGTAGTTCTCCACAGCCGCCCCTCTTATCCATTTCCCAAGCCCTCCTTTCCTTTACTCCTCCCAGAGATGGAGTCTCGCCATAGACTATCGGCTGGCCTGGAACTCACTGCTTAGACCAAGCTGGCCTCAGTCACAAATACAACTGCTTTTGCCTTCCGAGGGACTGGCTTAGAGGCACCACCACTTCAACCTTTCTTTTTATGTTACAATTGGGGGGGGGGTGTCACGTGTGTCATGGCAACTCAGGTATAGTCAGAGGACAGTGTGTGGGTTCTGGAGATTGGTTCATCTCATCAGCCTTTTCTTTCCCTTAGCGCTCCCCCCGACTCCCATCCCACAAACCTCACCACCAGTCCCCCTTCGCCACTCAGCAATGAGTCCCACTAATTTCTTCTTTCTTCCTGTCCCTTTTTTCCCCTCCTCAGTAAGCGCTACGAATCGCAGCTTCGGGACCTTGAGCGGCAGTCAGAGCAACAGAGGGAAACCCTTGCTCAGCTGCAACAGGAGTTCCAGCGAGCCCAGGCAGCAAAGGCTCCTGGGAAGGCCTGACCCCCATGGAAGGGGGAGGGGAGGGAGGGGTGAGGCAGCTCCAGGGTCCCCACTAGAATAGCCAATAAAATGTAAACAAAAACAAGTCAGGGTTCTTAGTTCTATAGAGTTCTTGCCGCTGGACTCTCTAGCAGTTCTCGTGACTCGTTTTCCTGGTGCCGAGAACTAAACGCAGGGTCTTGCCTGTGCGCCTTCAGTTTGGAGTCTGAAATGTCTCGAGCGGTGTCTTGCCTGTTCGTGCAGCCCGTTACCTTCCCTTCCCTAAGATGCAGTGCAGCCTGATGTTGAGAACGTCAGCTTAGCTATGGAACTCCGAGTTCTCGGCCTGAGAGCCTGGGATAGGATGTGGTCACTCACTGAGCACCTGCCCCCCCCCCCCCCCAGCCCTAGAGCGTTGGCGTCTTCACCTGGCATCTTACCATTGCTTTGAATCTTAACTTTTTTTTTGTTCTGAGATAAGGATTCTCTGTATAAACCTAGCTATCCTGGAACTCACTCTGTAGACCAGGCTGGCTTCAAAATCAGAGACCCACCTGCCTCTGCCTTCTGAGTGCTGGGATTAAAGGCGTGCGTCACCAGCGCCTGACTGAATGTAACTTAACTAATCTGAAATTCTCCCAAATTTATGTGTCATATCCACAAAGTTGTTCCTTAACTTCTTTGTCCTAAATTATCTCTTACAACTGTCTTGAGGGACGTCCACAGTGACTGCTATCCCTCAGGAACCCCTTGCCTCTTAGGGTCTGTGGCAAGGGAAAGCCGAGTCTATGAAGGGGCCAGGAGTGAGGGCATCACTGGGTTAACTGTCACCAGGACCTTGCTCTCAGGTTCCAGGATGGACCAGAGCCTTGTGCATCCTGCCAAGCCCGTGAACACTGAGCCATGCTGGGGACCTCTGGGAGTGGCACCATTGGCCCTTGTCCTGTGCCCTCATACCCATTCCCCAGTCCTTGTGTCCAGCTCTGTGCACTGAAAGACGGGGACGGGATCAGGTAGTGTTTGGTTTATTATCTTAGTGTTGGCACAGTGACAGGAACCCCCAGCGTGGGACGAGAAAGTCCCAGCAGAACGTCCTGTCATCGTCCTCCACCCTGGGCTCAGCCTCTAGGCCTCTCCTGGGCCCGTCACAGGCTAGCACGTGGCAGGAGTATACTCTCCCCAGCACTGACAGTATGCCACATTCCCCGGGTGGACGCCATGTGCAGGGACCCAATTTGGTTATATGGTCACCAGTCCCACGGGGCTGGCTTTTGAGGTGGTTTGGTAAACAAGTGCACTTCACTGTCCCAGGGCTGCTGGCCACCTTTCGGGATTTCCGCCCTGGTGTAATGGCCGCCATTGGTGGCTGCTCACACCTGGTGCAAGCGCTATGACTTCTGTAAACCAACGGGACGTCCTCCTCAGAACAGGGCCCGCGCAATCTTCCTCCCTGTGGCCTTAATCCTGGGAAAGGAGCCCCCTCCTCCCTCGCTTGGGGGAGTTCCTGAGGCAGAGGGGCCGGCGTGGGAGCCCGGTGTGGCAGTGGAGGACCTTCTGCGCTGCCGCAGGACGAAATCGTGAGATGCACCATCCATAGCGTAGAAGACGTTAGCCGAGTGTGGGATGGTTAGCTCTGTGGGTGCAGAGGTGGTCAGGCATTCACTGCTTCCCCAGGCCCAGTGAGAACACACCCTCCACTCTGTCTTCCCCTGGCCGCTCACCTCGCTCCCCGGGCAGCAGCTGCACCAGCTCAAACTCTGAAGCCACTGCAGAATCACGATTGTTTTTCTTAAGGACACGACTAATGACACTTGGGGCCTTGTCCTGGCTTGTCACCTTGCAAGAGACCAGAAGAGCAATAAATACATATGACAGCCGGCTTCCTATCCTTCCAACCCAGCCAGAAGAGTTAAAATGAACAGGAAACCCAAAAGACAGGAAACCCAAAATGGTGGTTGCCAGTGCCTGGTAAACCAGCCCACATGGTGCCCAGTACAACAAGCATGCAGGAAAACTGTTGGCTCTGAAGGTGTAGTGCAGCCCCCAGAACTCAGGGAGTGGCCCACTGAGTTGCCGTCAACGTCGAACACCTGCTCTGAGTCCCACAGAAGCCACAGTTGAGTCCTGGCTGCCCAAACCCAAGGCGACACAAATGTCTCTCACCAAGATGCTCTTGTAGATGCTGCCATCTTCCCCCAGCTCCATCTGGACTCGGATAATTCGGCAATCAGAGGACCCTGGTCCAGATGCTCCTCCCCCATATCCAGCACCCCTAGAGGCCCCTTCTCCTGTGTTCCCACTCAGTGGAGATCCACAGGAGGCTGAGCGGCGGTGACCTCGAGAAGGCCTAGGAGAGGAGGCTGGAGGGGAGAGGTGGCTGGGGTCGGCAGGACTGTGCAGGGAGGGGCTGCTTTCCAGGGCAGAGTCCAGAGAGGAGACAGACGGCCACTTCATGTGCTAGGGGCAGACAGGTCAAGTCAGAAGGGAAGGAGGCGAAAAAGAAATGTCTTAGCATAGAGTTAAGAGCGGACTCACCTGGGCCAGCCGAGTCAGCAGGGGAGCAGGGGTTCCAGGGACCTCATCTCCCCCAACGCTGGGCCGATCCCAGGACACCAGAGGAGTGGGGCCTCCAACCGAGCCCAGGACTCTGGAGAGGCAGGGAATTAGAGAACTGGCAGTGGAAGGTCCCCAGGAAACCAGCTCCCGGCCAGCAGTGCTCCTACTCTGTGCACTGGGAGATGACTAGCGTAGGCCGGAGCATCCTCACAGCAGGAGAGTCGCTGGTACCAGGTGGTTCCACTTCACAGGACACACGGTGACTGGACAGGATAGCCATGGGCAGAGGTCAGCACATGCCACCAACACACGCACACCCACGTCCCCCAGCCCGTGTCCTCCAACCACCCAGTCAGCCAGTCACCTCTGAGCTTCAGTTAATGGCTGGAGGCCCTGGAGCCATTGCTGGATATCGGGGTCAGGTCGGAGGTCATAGCCACGACATTCATTCTGGAGGCGTAGCAGCTCGGAAAGGATAGCAAACTCCTGGGAAGGAGCCCTCAAACTGCAGGAGCCAAAACTCAGGGACCCCTGAGTTTGCCTCCCCCTTCCCCTTCCTGGAGCATGGACGGAGAAGCCCAGCATCCAGCCTCAGTCTGCTCACCTTCCTCCGCTTGTCAAAATTGATGTAGCCATTCTGCAGGGGCAGTAAGGGACGAAAATGATGACCCTGCTCGGGCACCAGGGAGAACACCCCCGTCCCCAAACAGGCAGTGCACGAGCCACTCAGACCCTGAGTTCACCCCTGTCTGTCCCCAGGCACATCTCAGACACAAACTCTCAGCCTCACAGGGTCTCACTGTGTGTAGCCTTGAGTGGTCTAGAACTCACCACGTAGATGAGACCAGCCTTGAAGTCATGATACCTGCCTGTGTCTACCTGCGTGCCGTCCAGCTGACGCCCAGCTCCACTGGACACTTTAAGACTTTAATTTGCTGTCTGAGGGAAAGCATCTAGCTTCTAGATGAGAAAACTGGGCTCACGGCAGGACAGGGAGCTTTCTGGAAGCCTCAGCATTTTCTTTCGTTTGCAGCACTGACGTTAACAGGCTGACGTAGACAGTCGGACATATACTGACAGACCACTGAAGTGCAGAGGTTCAACTGTGTGCTATGGTAACAGAACCTGGCTCCAGAAACTGTAGCCAGTCTGCTGCTTCTGTCTTGTAGCCTGACCCTTAGGTGCCCTTGTTAAGCCTTGTTAAGCCTTCCAGGATGGACCTCTCGCAAACACACACATACATACATACACACACACACACACACACACACACCACTGACCTCCAGCTCATCCTTGGAGGCGGCGTGAAGCATCACTAGGTCCTTCAGGAAGGTCCCAAGATATGGAACCACACCCTGCAGAGAAGTCAGGGTCAGACTCCAGTCAGGTCAGAAAACAGCCCTTCCCTCCATAGAACCGGCTTTGTTCACCTCAGAGGGTGAACAAAGAGCCTCCCGTCCAGACCCTCTGGTCACTCACCCCACCCCTGGAGCCAGACCTTGGCGTCTTCTTGGAGTGTGGCTCCACAGGGGGCTGCAGCTTCACTTCCTGGTGGTGATAGAGACCAGGTGATTGGGAGGAGGGAGCAGGTGCAGAGGTAGAGAAAGCAAGACTGGCCTCACCTGCATGAGGAGCCCCCTGCTCTGGGAATAATTATCTTCCTCTGAGAAAACCTGGCACAGGCTGGAGAAGACTCTGAGGCTGTCCCTAGGGAGGAAGAGCAGTCTGAGCACAGGCCTGGCTTAGCTGCTGCGCTCCAGGCCTCGGGCACTCCAGGTCTCCCACCTGGCTGCTTCCCCCCAGGCCGCCCGAAGCCTGTGGATAGGGCTGGACTGCAGAGCAGACACTACAGCGTAGACTGAGGAGAAGTTCCGAAGCAGGCGGCACTCCTGTGAGGACCGGGAACAGAGTCAAGGCTTAGGGCCCCTCTCCACGGCACAGCCCCCGAGTAGGGTTGTTCTTTCTCACCTCTGCCACTCGGATCCACTTCTCCAGGAGCCGGGCCCTCTGTGGGGGTCGGAGGGGCCTCACGGTCACCTCCCCCGGCCCCTCTCCAATTGAGGTGGCCCCCAGGACAGAGCTAACTACTGCCCCTGCCACCTTGTTGAACTGTGTGACAGTAGCTCGGACAGATGAGCAGAGGTGAGAATGTCCTGGCCGGTCCCTGTGACCCCAGAGGCCTCCCAAACACTGAGAGGGGATCACGTTGAGAAACAGCTCCTACAGGGTGGAGGTCATAGGTTACAATTCATAGACAAGCCAGGCAAGTTTCCAATACCAGAGACCAGCAGGGCACAGAGCTGGAGGATGACAGCCACAGGGAGGAGGGAAGGGAGGGTCAGAGCAGCAGATGGCAGAGGAATCCAGGAGCATTGGAAGCAAGGAAAGGATCTGGAGCCCAGGAGAGTTAGTGAGGGGTCAGAGTGTAGGGTCAAAGGTCAAGGTCTCACCGCATCTAGCAGGGTCAGCTGTTCGGCCAAGTGGTCAGCGAGGAACACCAGGACATCCGTGGGGTCAGCAGGGGAATCGCCAGGAAGGGCCAGGGGCTTAGGAAGGTCGGGGGCCCGGGGATCTACCCGGGCCCGAAGGTTTCGGATGAGGTCAGCACTGCCCCCCCCAACACCCTCCCGTGCTGCATACCCTGTCCGAAGCAAGAAGCTCTCAAGCCGGTCAAGCTGACCCTTGACCTCAGAGCCAAAATCCTCAGGGTGAGAGGCCAGCCAGGTTGAAAGAACGGAGATGGCTACCCTGGGAGAAGGGGAACCAGCCAAGGGTCAGAGGTCCAACCTCGGCTTCCTCAGAGGGGACTGAGGTAGAGTCAGGGGCCACTCACCCTGTGGTCCTCTCTAGCTCGCCAGGAGCACGCAGCTCGAGGGCTTCCAGCCTGGGGATGAGGAGAGGCTCTACCTACGCCGCTTTGCCAACCCCCCTGGTGCTGTGAGCTCAGAGCACATCCAGGAGCCCCTCAACCCTCGGTCCCGGACCTGTCAGTCACAAGCCCAAACAGGGCTGGCGTGGAGGTGAAGGCCCGGTGTGTGGCCAGCAAGGCTGGCGTGAAAGTCACGTCAGTCCCTGCCGTCCTGGCATCCAACAGGTGTCTGACCAGGGCTTCCAGAGTGCCAGCGCGGAGCCGTCGGGAGAAACGCGGGGGAGGCAAGGGGACCTGGAGAACACGGAGGGGCACACTGATCTCCCCGAGCCTACTGCTAGATGTCTGGGGTAATCCAGACCTCGCTCGCTTTTGCTAAGGTTCAGAGAGGACAAGGTGCATGGCTTAAACCACACCACAAAGTCCTAGACTCCAGACATCCAACCAGCGCTCTGGCCAAAGGAGAGGAAAGAAATCAAAGAAAGAACTGAGAGGTGTGGGGTCAGAGGTGAGAAGTCAAAGTCATGATCTCACCAAGGGATCAGGAGGCCGATACTGGCGGCTTGTGACAGTAAAGGTGGCGCCATCCTCCTCCTCATCCCAGACAGACACAGGAGCCTGGAGAAGCAAGGAAGAGGAAGTCAGTTCCACAGCACCTCCGGTCCGGTCCCTAGCCATTGTTCCCCAGACCCTGCTCCTCCCACTGTACCCCTCACCTGCGATGGCGGGGGACAATACCAGCGAGTACGAGGGGTAGAGGGTGCTGGTGACCCCAGGTCTACCCCCACTGGGGCTCAGACAGCCCCCCCAAACCGCCTCAGAGTTCGGTGAAATAGAGGTTTCAGTGAGGTGCCAACTGAATGCAGGAACACACCCAAATCCCTTTCCCCCCACAGCTGAGCCCAACACGGCAGAAAAGCGGGGTGCAAAGGGTAGGAGCAGGGCGCCACAGGAGGCCCAAAGCCGAAGGCAGAGAGACCTGAAGCAGAGAGAAGCTGAACCGTCAGACGGTCTCATGCCCCGCCCTCCCTGACAGAAGCAGAGGAGCCCAAATTTAGTTTCTCTTCATAGACCCCTTTCCCAGGTCTCCCGAATGCAGCTTCCACTAAATGTCAGCACTGGGGACCCCCTGAAGGTGGCGGCTCCAATCCCAGTTACAAGAAGAAGGGGAAGTAAGGGTGATGGGGGGGGGGGCGGTAGACTCATAGTCATGTGGCCCTAGCCCCTCCCCCGACTGATCCCGAAAAACCAGCCTTGCCAGTCACCCTAACTTTACTAATTAATGTCGGGACCCAGGAGTCCAGGGCCTCTTGGCTCCAAATCTAACTTCTGGACCCTCTTTGAAGCCCTAAGTCCTGTTGCTGGCCACAGCTATCAGTCCCTAAGAACGAAGATGACCATTGTCTACCTATCCTGGGATCATCTCTCCAGGTGCCAGTACCTCTAGGTTTGACTCAATCCGGCACCAGGGGGTGGGGGAAGGGGCGGCGAAATCTGAGGGTTCCCTCCCCAATCCTAGAGGCTGAGGAGTTGGTTACCATGGAAACAAACCCCTCCCCGCCAAACAAAAACCAGGAGGGAGACAGGGACCTAGACACACCGCCCAGAGGCAGCTCTCTGAGGCAGGCACGGGCAAGAAGGGCCTAAGCCCCGCAGGCACAGCCCGCCAGCTTGCCAGCCAGACTTTCCAGGCAGGAACTCGGCAGGTTCCTGCAGGCGGGTCCCGAGTCCCGCAGACGGACAGGGAGGACTCCAGAGACACCAGGACCCGCGGCCAAATACCCAGGCAGAGGTCCGGATGTGAGCGAGGCAGGGCGGAAGAGACCGAGGGACCCAGAGACACCAGAAGGAGGAGAGTCTCAGAAATATTTAATGCCCTGCCTCCCACCACCCGCGTCTCACCTCTTCTTCTTCCTCATCCTCTTCCTCCTGCCCCCCGCCCACGGCCCGGCCACCTGGGTCCCCACCCTCTTCGGGGTCTCGGCTCCGGAAGCTGCTCAGCACGACTCCCCCGGGGGGGTTCGTGTCCAAAAGCAGCCGCAGGGGCCGCGGGAGCATGGCCGAGTGAAGGAATCAGCGGGGGTCAAGCCATGGGGGCGCCTGGGGAGAGACGGGTGGGGTGAGGGTGGAGTCAGGCGGGCGTGGGGGACACGGGCGTTGGGGACACGGGCAGGGAAGGCCTGTGTGGGGGTCCCTCAGGAAGGCTGGGGGGAGAAAGCACACGGGAGTAGGAAACCGGGGTCCTCAGTGCCCGTTAGGGGTTAGGGGATCATAAGTGCGGGATGGGCAGGGTCAACCGGTGCTCCGGCTCTGACCTGTCGGGAGGGGTGAGAGGCTGCGCGCGGGTCCTGGCCCTCTGTCCTGGTCGGTTTCTGGCCCTCGACCGAGTCCCCTCCCGAGCTTTTCCGCGCCCCCCCTCCCGAACCCTGCCGGGTTCCCGGGCTCTCCCGCCCTTTCCGCTTCCCCCCTCCCCGCGTCCGCCCGCCCGACAGCAGGAGCCAAAAAGGGAAGGAAGTGAGGACAGGAGCCAGGGCCGCCGACTAGGGAAGTGCTGGACGCCAGGGTTCGGGACCCAGGCGCCAGGTGCCCCACTCCACTAGACCCTGCAACCCTGCTCGGGGACTCCGGAGCCCCGGTCGCCCAGAACAGACAGACTGGCGATCGAGTCCTCTCAAGCCTCCGCGGGAGGGCAAGGGCAGGATTTTAAATCTTTCTCTAATAAGCACAAGTGCAACTCCCTCGGAAAGCGCTCTGGTAGGGGGGCGACCCCGTTACTGCAGCCCGCTAATGACACTGCCCACTCCAGCGCGCGGGTGCAACGGAGCAAATCCGCCCCGGGTTTTCTGGGCCGCCTTTGTGTCCGCCCACTCCAGGGGCGGGGCCGGACGTCGGCTAGGAAGGTGCGGCGGCGTTTCCGTCACTCTTGGGTCCGCTCGGGTCCGTCACCGCCGGAGTCCGGGTCTCTCGGTGCGCCAGAGTGTGCGCAGTTCCTGCGTGGCTGCGTCGGCCCCTACCCCCACCCCCCGGCTTGGGGCAGGCCGGGTAGTGGCTAGGGCCAGGAGGCGACGGGTGGTTCGCTGCGCTTGTAAAAAGGGCAGAATGAGACCCACGTGGAAAACTTTGAAACAGTTTTATTGGCACGCGACTAGACCGGTGGCTTGGCGGGCGGGCGGGCAGGAGAGGACGGACATCCTTTAGTCCGTGGAAGGACGAGGCCCATCAGGCCTGGGGCCCAAAGATGGCGAAAGTAGAGCAAGTGGAAGAAACGCTGTGGTGTGAAGGGAGCTGGAGAGGTAGGCATTAGTCTTGGGAGACACACGGACCGCTGGGCTCTAGAACCGTCGTGAGCTGTCCCAGAGGTCCCCAGCACGTTAAGATGCTCTGATCCCTTAGTCGTTGTAATTATATAGCCAGTGATTCTCCAGCTTCCTAATGTTACGACCCTTTAATACAGTTTCCCATATTGTGGTAACCCCAACCATAAAATTATTTCCGTTGCTACTTCATATTTGTAATTTTGCTGTTGTTATGAATCCTAATGTGTAAACATTGATATTTCCGATGGTCTTAGAGGGACCATGACCTGCAGCTCTGCAGGCTAAGAAACGCTGCTTTAGAGCATACAGAGACACTTCGTTTGTTTTTCAAGACAGGGTTTCTCTGTAGCTTTGGAGCCTGTCCTGGAACTAGCTCTGTAGACCAGGCTGGCCTCAAACTCAGAGACCCACCCTGTCTCTGCCTCCTGAGTGCTGGGATTAAAGGCGTGCGCCCCAGTGCCTTTAATTCTTGTGTTTAGTTCTCTGAACAGAACCCCACCCTGGCTAAGCTAGAACTCCCTATTGTAAATCAGGTTGGCATGAGACTCAAGTGACTCCGGAGTCTGGAGTGCCAAGTGATGGATCAAAGACATAGGTCACTTTTTCTTTCTTTTCTTCTTTTTTTCTATTTTATTTTATTTTTTTAAGTTAAGTTCTAATAGCCCACATAACAAAAACTCTTTGGGCTTCTTGATCATTTTAACATGTATTGGGACCCAAAATTTTGAGGACCTCTGCCTTCAAGCCTCAAGAATTAAAATAATAATAATCCTCAAGGTATGGTGGCCAATGCCTTTCGTCACTCTGGAGGCAGGGACAGATGGATCTCTGGGACTTCGAGGCCAGCCAAGGCTACATGGAGAGACCTTGTCTAAAAACAAGAACAAAAACAACAACAAAAGTAAAAAATAAACAACCCTAGCTGCATGCTCAATGGAAAGAGTAGATGTCTCGAAGAGAAGCTGTTGGTGGAGGGGCTACTGGAATCATCTGGGCAAAGATGAGGTGGCTCCCACAGAAACTGTGCCTTATTGTGACTTCTGCAAGAGAAAAAAGAAGTGGAGGATTAAGCCGGGCAGTGGTGGCGCACGCCTTTAATCCCAGCACTTGGGAGGCAGAGGCAGGCGGATCTCTGTGAGTTCGAGACCAGCCTGGTCTACAGAGCTAGTTCCAGAACAGGACAGGCTCCAAAACCACAGAGAAACCCTGTCTCGAAAAACCAAAAAAAAAAAAAAAAAAAAAAAAAAAGAAGTGGAGGATTTGATGCAGAGTGAGTTCCTCCTGATTAATCCAGAAACATTCTTGTCAGGGGAAGGGAGCAGGATAGGGCTGGCATTTCCTGCCTGTTAGATACAGTGTTGAGTGTTCTACCTCCTGAGTTCTCTGGAAGAGAGGAGCCATCTTCTCAAAGGCCCTCGGGGTCATCTGAGACCAAGCAAACTCTACCCCTGGGCTGTGCTGGGAGCTTTGGGATTTCTTGCATGGTTTACATGTTTAAATCTTCTGGATAGGGGAGATTCAAGAATTAATGCTGAGTGTACAGTGGTCTTGCTTTGTGAGAGCGTTTCCTCCAGAGCGGTTGGTCCCTTTGGCCACCCCCGTCCTCCTACTTTGACAGCACCCACTTTCCTCTGTAATAAACTCTGATTCTCTCCTGCTGGTGAAATGGCTCAGCAGACAGAGTCGACTGCAGGTGGTCGAGTTTGAGCTGGGCTCCCCAGAGTTGTCCCCTGACAACCAACCATGCGTGAGAACACACCCCGCATTCACACAGGCACACAAGATGAAGCCTTCAGAAAGATGGGCTGGTGGGGCGGCTGTGGGTAAAGGGATCCCCAAGCCCCCCATGGTAGGAGAAAACAACTCCCCCAAATTGTCCTTTGACCTCCACGTGTCTGCCGTGGTATGCACATGCCCACACAGATAAACGTAATTTCTAAAAATTACAAAGGCAAGGTTTGTTAACTGAGCATGGTGACACTCCTGTGACCCCGGCACTGAAAGGGGAGGGAGAACTGGAGAGTTATGATCACCCTCAGTAAGCCCTGTGGTGGGGTGAGCCTTACTCCCCAAACAAAGGGAGGCCAGCCTAGTCTACACACAGAAACCTTATATCGAAAAACCAAAAATAAATAAATAGAATTATCCTCAACTATGCATCAAGTTTGAGGTCAGCCTGGACTAGGAGACCCTGTCTCAACAAAAATTCAATAAATGTATTATTAAGTTATTTTGCCTGGCTCATTTTGCTTCTCTTTCTCATGAGCCAAGGTTTCCATGGCGCAGCCTAGAACTCAGATTCTGCCTCAGCCTCTGAGTGTTGTGCCCAGAAGCATGGCCCGGCACACCTGGTTTTTCTTTTTTTTTTTTGTCAGAGACAGGGTTTCTCTGTGACTTTGGAGCCTGTCCTGGAACTAGCTCTGTAGACCAGGCTGGCCTCGCACTCAGAGATCCACCTGCCTCTGCCTCTGCCTCCCAAGTGCTGGGATTAAAGGTGTGAGCCACCACCGCCCGACTTCTCTTTTTTAACGTAACTACTAATTACTCCAGTCTCTGTGTCTGAGTCACGTCTCACAGACTACACTGCACCCAGGGAAACAGACCCAGACTGGAAAGTCTGAGGTGAGGTACAGTTAGGACGAAGGATTGTGTGAAGTCTACACCTGCGGCTGCCTGCCATGCCAGCGTCCCACCACAGAGTATAACACGGCAGGAGGCGGGAAAGACCGGGAATGGGCACTGTTACCTTTGAGTCCAGGCTGGCAGCTGCCGCCTTCTCCTTTGAGTCTTCAGGAATGGTCTGGTAGGCTGCTATGGGAAAGATGGAGGGGAGGGGTGTGAGTGGCGGGGAAGGAAGAGGTGAGACCACAGAGAGTAAGCGGGAGATGTCCTGGGGAGCAGGCTCACACCTACCAATCCAGCCTAGTGCCTTCATGAGTCCCAGAAGGAGAAAGGCGGACAGGAACAGGCCTACGCTGTCTTCGATTGAGGGCCGGGAGAGGCCTAGCAAGGGAAGCGGTGTGAATGAGCTTGGTGTCTTCTGAGGTTCCGCCCTGGTTCAGAGGTTCTCCAGGTTACCTGCCACCTCCAAGGTGACTTCAGCACTGCGACTTGATGCTGGCAAGCTGGGGTGGCGGACCCGACAGGCATAGCGTACTCCATGCTGATTGGCAGTGACTGGGGGCAGCCGCAGGTGCCCAGCCTGGCTGACAGAGCCATCGGAATGGTGGCGGACGGTGGACAGCCATGTCTCCCCCTCGGCCTTTCTAGAACCGCCTTCTGAGCCACCTCTGATCTCCCACTCCACCTCCAGGCCCGCCTCAGGGTAGAAGTGGGACACAAGGCAGATCAGTTCCGGGGGTGTCTCTCCTGGGGCAGCCCACACAAGGGGTGCTGGTGTCAGAGACACTTTGGGGGGCTCTAAGAAAGAATAGAAAGGAAAGTGAGAGTCCACTTCGTCCCTTGGTTTGTCTTCTGGCTTCCTAATACTAGAGAGGGCACTCCGATGGTGGAGAACCCCAGGACCCCCAGTCTATCTTCCCTCCCCTGCCATGGTGTCCCCACTCACTGTGCACAGTCAGCTGCAGGGAGACCTGTCCTTGTAGATAGGGCAGGTGCACAGTGGCCAGGTAGGTGCCCTCCTGAAAAGGCTTCACAGCTGGCAGCCAGAAGGTTCCATTCCCGGTCCACGGGCCCCAGGGCTCATTGTCATCCCAAGCAGCAAAGGCCACGGCCTTTTCTTGGGCTGGTGGCGTTTCCCCAGCCAGCCCAGGAGTTGCAGCCAGCAGCAGGTAACCCTTGCCCCTGTGCTGCCGTCGCCACTCTAGCCCAAAGGGAGGGGGGCCGGTGGCTGGAGACAGAGCATCTTCCAGAACAGGGGGCATGTAGGCAAAGCTCAGGTCCAGCACTGCGTCTTTTCCCAGCTGGATCCGGGGAACAGGGCTGTGGGTGAGGACAGTCAGCACCACTGGACATTGGGAGAGAGGGGAGAAAGGGAGAGGCAGAGCTGTGGGCCTGGGCCAAGCTCCAGTTGGCCCACCCCTCAGAGACACCCCCATTTGTAATACTACCTCCAAGCCTTCCTTTTATTCTGGTTCTAAGCCAACATAGTTAAGAAAGTGGCCGGGCGATGGTGGCACACGCCTTTAATCCCAGCACTCGGGAGGCAGAGGCAGGCGGAACTCTGTGAGTTCGAGACCAGCCTGGTCTACCGAGCTAGCTCCAGGACAGGCTCCAAAGCCACAGAGAAACCCTGTCTTGAAAAACCAAAAAAAAAACAAAAACAAAAACAAAAAAAACATAGTTAAGAAAGTGCAGAAAATACAGGGATAATCAAGGTGGCGTGTGCATGTGGGGCAGAGGTGCGACTCTGGGCAGTCTGCTGAGCACTCTGCCCACTATGGTTCTCAAATTCTGAAGATGTCCAAGACCTAAGTGCACATTTATTACTTTTTAATTTTTATGTGTATGAGTGAATGCCTGCATGTAAGTGCACCATGTGGGTGCAGTACCCAAGGAGGCCAGAAGAGGGCACTGGATCCCCTAGAATTAGAGTTACAGGTGGCTGTGAGCCATCATGTAGGCACTAAGACCACTACCCTGGCAGCCAGTGTTCTTAACTGCTGGGCCATCTCTGCATATGCGCAGCACACAAACACACACACTTTTTTTTTGAGACAAGACTCACTCTGGCCATCTTGAAACTATGTAGGTAGGCTAAGCTAATCTGGAACTCAGTTGATTCTCTTACTTCAGCCTCTCGAGTTCTTTCCATTTGTTTATTTATTTGTGTGGGGGGGGTGGCTAACAGGTGCTGCACTAACGAATGGACCGAGGATCTCACGTGGGCCAGGCGAGTACTCCATCTTGTTTGAAACAGTCTCATATAGCCCATGCTGTCATGGAATTATTGAGCCCCCTGTCCCTGCTTCTCAAGTGCTAAGATTGTAGGCATCATCTCCAACACCTACAATCAGACTCACACATAGTATGCAATGGGTCTACCACTGATCTACACCTAACTCAGCCCCTCCTAATTTCCAAACCAGGAGACTCAAACAGGAGAATTGCTATGAGCGCCAGACAAGCCTGGCCGTGAGACTCAGCCTCAGAAACAAATGCATAACAGAGGCGGTGGCAATAAGAATATGCCTACCGACTGAGCTGTGGTGAAGGCTGTGTCAGCTGATGCCTCTAGCTAACCAAATCTGTTCCATTGGCTCAACAAGGACCTCTCCAGGAGGCTCTGTACACGGAGCACAGAAAGTCTGCATACCAGAGCTTCATGCAGATAGGGAAACTCTACCACTGAGTTTCCCAACCCATTGATGCTTTGTTTATTTTGTTTTGTAAAAGATTTATTTTTTCCCAAGTGGTGGTGGTGCATGCCTTTAATCCCAGCACTTGGGAGGCAGAGGCAGGCAATCTGTGAGTTCAAGGCCAGCCTGGTCTACAGAGTGAGTTCCAGGATAGGAGCCAAAGCCACAGAGAAACCCTGTTTGGGTGGGGGGGAGGGAAGACAATGAGTCTTGCTATGTTGTGCAGGCTAGCCCAGGGTAGCTGCACACACCCGAGAGGCCTCCCTGAGCTTCCCGGTGCTAGGACCACAGGCACACGCCCACACACCTTGCCAAGGATTTGGTCTATATAAGCTTCCAACATTAGTTACCTGGAGCTGGAAATTTCTGCATCCTAACTTTTTCTTGGTGCTAGTGAACATTTTCTTTTAGATCAGTGAGTAAAGTAACAAGTGCCTTGCTTCACTGTCACAAGGAAAGGCAGCTGGGAAAATAGTTCCTGCTTTTCACAGCTGGAAAAAATAGAGCCATAGAGGAAAGGTAGGCGCCACCACCATCTCACAGTGAAGAGCAGCTGTGTGGGGACTGGCCAGAGAGAACAGCGAGAGCTCCTAGACATTTAGTCACATCTACCCCGTTTCAGCATATCTGCCCAAGGAGTAACCCCGAGTCCAGCCCAGCAAAGTGCTGGACCCCTGGAACACGGCGGCGTTGCTAGTCACTAAGTGGCCTTTGCAGAATCCTCCGTCTTTGTCGAGTCCTTTCTGCCCGCTAGAGGCCGCTATTAACGGACCACAGACCATGGCCCCAAGCTGAGCCTGAGGAAGAGTTTCCTTGCCTGGCTGGTGGTCGCTAGGCCAGAATGGGCTTAGGACACTCAGAGTCAACTGTAGGGGGTTGGGGGGCGGGGCTAGCAATTTACTGACCTTGGAGGAGTACAGACAAAATTCGGGTTTTAAGACTCACTGCCTGTCACTCTACAAGTTCCTCAAACTTTGCTATCTGGAAACCACCATGACTTCCCCAATCCCCGCCCCCAAACCAGAGTTGATTTCAGTTTTATTCTTGGCCTGACCAAGAAAGGTAAAGATAGATGCTAACCAACTGCCTCGTTTAACAAAAAATATATATACTAATCCCAAATGGAGAAAAGACTCATTCAAACCTACTCAGCCAGTGGCCACTGGCAGATCTAGACCTTTAAAAACTCCCCATCCATCTCCCGCACCTCTCCACGACTACCTGTTGCCATGGTGATGAAGACGGGCTCCTGTTGAGGCTCCGGCTGTGGTCGCAGCAAGCTAGAGAGGCTGAAGACGGTGCTGGACACGCTGACCAGCAGCCAATCCCCATCCAGGGCCCGTGGGCAGCTCCGCTGCGGGATCAGATGTCTAGCCCAATTCGCGGAGGCGGGGAACGGGATGAAGCGGCTCATCTCGCAGTGTGGCGCGGGGGCGCCTGAGGGGTACCGCCTGAAGGCAGCCAGGAGCATTCCCGCTGTGTCTGCGGGACCGAAAGGGTACAACGGTAGTCCGGCTGGAAACGTCTGGAATGCACATACTAACAAAGTACTGAGAGACTTAGGGAGAACCCAGACATGTTTACAAAGGGGAAACTGGGGTCCAGGGCCCTACGTGAGCTAAAGAGGCGATAGATGGCAGGTGAGTTCCGAAGACTCACCATCCACCTTGAAGTATAGCTTAGGGTCAAGATCTGGCCGGGGCGGTGGACCCATGGGTCCCTGGCGCAGCAGCAACGAGGCAGGTTTCTTGTTTAGGCTACCCCGACCTGCATCTTCCACGAACCAGCACTCAATCGCAGCTGGTCCAGCCGAGACGGCGGTCACTAGGCCTGGGGGAGAGGGGCTCCAGTGACCAGGACGTCCACTGACCTGCCCCGCCCCTTCGGGAGGGAGTTGGAACTCCTCTCCTTCCCAGTGCGCCTTTTCCTAAACAAGAAGAAATGGGGTTCGCTCACCAAAAGCCACAGCGACAAGCAAGGGCAGAGGCTTCATGGCGCTGCGATCTCTTCTTCTCTGTCTCGGCTTCCCCCTTTCACTTTCATTTTCCTCCAAAAGCCAGCGCAAGGGACCGGAAATTCACGCTCCGTCAGGTGAGGGATTGGCCTCCCGCTGCAGGCACGCAGCCCACAGGGCCAAACGAGTTACGACACCCTGCCTCCAGTTCTGCCCCTCGGCGCCCTGCACACCCTCCTGGATCACCCAGCAGCGCCAACTTTTGAGTCCTTTAGCAACCTAGGCTCCGCCCTCCGGCTGCGTCCCCTCAACGCCACCGCCTTTAGAAGCTTTACACCCGCGTTTTCCGACCTCCCCGACCGGTGCCAGGTCCCAACAAACACAGAGGGGCTATCGGGAAGCCAAGTGAAGTGACCAATAAATATTTTAATCACCATTAAAAATTAAAACCTATACTACGCGACTCATTCCTTGTCTCCACCCACTTTCACGAAAACCCGATTGGGAATCTCCCTGGGAAGAGCGGGCTGGTACAGAAATAAAGGGCACATCCTTCAGGAGGGGAAATGATAAGACTCGAAAGGCCTCGTCCCACAACACAAACACAGACCAGGCACAAACCAGCACAACTTGACCGTTGACCCTGTGATTCCGGGATGCTCAAAATGCCCCCTTTCCACTCCCTCATCGTGTGGGCCCTATTCTGTAAGGGTGAGGCACTGGTGTGCCCAAGAGAGAAGAAAAAAGGTTTACTTCCAGAGATACCGAGGGAAGAAGAGGCTGAGGAATGGAACCTACTGGCAATGGTGCACCCTAGGCCCTCTCCAGAATATATACAAGTCCACAGAGGTAAGGGAAGACAGTGCAATGGGGAAAACTCTGGGGCCACGTTGCCGTTAGACTAAGCTCCCCATGGCCAGCCCTTCAGTGCGCTCCTCCGCCCCCACTGAAATCCATCTCCACCTTGTGCACGCTGGGTGGGGACCAGACACGCCTATGGGATGGGGGTGTGGCCGAATTCGCCTCATCGCCATTGCCCCCACCCACTCCGGAAGACTCCCTCTTAAGTTGCAAGGCAGGCCCAGTAGGAGCCCCGGATCCCGGTCCTGATGCGGCCCCGCCCCCACCCATCCGGTGCCGGCGCTCACAGTGTCCCCGGTGCCGCATGAAGCTGTCCCGCCACATGAACTTCTTGGCGCAGACGCTGCACTCATAGGGCTTGAGGCCTGTGTGCGTCTTCATGTGCTCAGTTAGGTGGTGCTTCATCTTGAACTTTTTGTTGCACACCGGGCAGTCGAAAGGTCGCAGGTTGAGATGCATGTTCACGTGCCGGTCCCGCATACTCTTATGCGAGAAAGCTTTCCCACAGTGGCACAAAAAGATCTTATTCCCGTCACTGCTGCCCGTCCCTCCAGGGGCCCCACCAGAGCCACTTGGTATGCCTAGACCCACGGCAGAGGTGCCCCCCAGGGTCACTGCCCCGTGTTCTGCTGGGTTCCCCGGTGGCTGGCCTGGAGCCTGTGAGGAGGAGGATGGGAATACCAAGATCTGGTTGCCCGGCACATCCAAAGGAAGGAGGGGTCGTGGAGGGTGGGTGGGGGTATAGGAGGAGGGGGTGGGTCCTCCTGAGTCATCAAGCCCCGCTCCGGCCCCCCCACCCTCATAGGGGCCAAAGTCATTGGAGGACTCACAGAAGTTGACCTGTTCCTCCCCTTTGACTGGAGGCTCAGTCAAGGTCCGCACATCACTGATACTGAGCGTAGCCTCAGGCTCTCCCCTTGCAGGAACCCCGGAGCCACCCCCCAGTTCTTCATCCTCGTCATCCTCACAAGTCAACACTAGATCTTCCTCTTCCTCCTCATCCTCTAGCTCTGGATCTTGGTGAAGCAGAGAGGCTGGCGCAGGGCAATTTCTACCTCGTTTCACATATACCCAGTGTTTCTGTGGCACTGCACCGGCAGGCATGCAGGGAGGCCTCCGGAGCCCAGCCCCGGGGACCACGGCCCCCCTCCCGTCCCCACCATCATCACACAGCTCGTCTGCCTCCAGCAGCAACTTTCCAGAAGTGGCAGCCATGCTGCCAACCACAGGGCCTGGGAAGCCAGGGCCACCATCTCGACGGTTCCCACAGCCAACTGCTGACGCTACAAAGGTGTCTTGGGAGGAAGAGGAGAACTCGGCGGACTCCCGGGGGCTGAAGTAGTTGCTACTGCTAGGGGACTGATTCTCACTGGCCCGGCTGGAAGCATGGGAGCGGACGGAGCCCATGGTGGCCGGGGCTCCAGCGCCCGCACTCCCTGACGGGACACTGGCACCAGGGACGGAGACAGAGGGGGCTGCGGCAGTGGTGACCGTGGTGGTAGTGGCTGAGGAGCGACCCTCCCGAAGGAGCTCCGTGCACTTGTCCACGATGTGCCACATCTGGAGGACCGAGCCCACCGTGAGGAAGTTGACGATGTCAGCAGCGGCCATGCTGAGGCGGCCCGTGTACGCCGAGGCCAGGACTGTTTCAAACGCACCCGGGTCCATGACGCTGGGCAGCGAGATGGAGGTCATGCCTTTGAGTAAGACCTGGTCGTGGAAGTAAGGAGAGGAGGCGGCCAGGACAGCCCGGTGTGCACGAAACTCCCGGCCCTGCACTCGGATGGACACATCGCACAGCTGCCCCTGGAGCCGCTGCTGGTTGAGGGACTCCAGGAGGGCACTGGTCACTTCAGGGAACGACACGTGCACCACTGCAGCTGCGGGCAGAGGCAGCGGCGGCGGAGCCAGCGAGAGAGGCAGCGGGAGAGCCGCCCCACTGGGTGACAGAGGAGATGGCTCCATGTTGCGGGAGGAGAAGATACCCCCCCAGCCACAGGAACAAAGGAAAGAAGAGGGCGGCCGGGGGGGTCTCTGGGGGGAAAAAGAGAAGAATGATAGGATTTTGAAAAGTCACAGCCCGTCACAGCATAAAAACATTGTGTCAGCCTTAGAACTGGGGTAGGTGTACCTTTCAACCCCATGGGACAGATGAGGCAACTGAGGCTCAGAAGGATTAAGTCAGTCATCCAAGTGCAGCCATCAAACGACATCAAACCGCAGGCAGCGCTAGCAAAAGAAAAGTATCCCGATCCAGTTAGTGCGCGTTCCTAGGTTAGGAGAGCCGGGGCTCTCGGGGGATGGCCGTCCACCCTACGCACGGCCGCCTCTCCTCCAAACGCGCACCTCCCTGGCGTGCTGTACCTACTTCTTGGGGCGAAGGGGTGTCCCCCTCAACTCTCGGGCCCCTCCCCCTGCCGCCCCCAGCTACTGCCGGGCTCCGCCTCCTGGGTCCCCGACCCCGCCTCGTGTCTGCCCCCGCCCCCGAACCCCGCCCCCCACCCCGCCCCAAAGGCGCCCTGGACGACTCCCCGACCCGAGGGGCCCCCCCCAGCCCCGCGCATCACCGCTTACCTGGCCGCGCGCCCCCGGCCCCCCCTCACTCGGCGACCAGAGCCGCAGCCCCGGCCCCTCCCGCCGCCATCTTGTGCCGACTCCCTCCGCCCTCCGCCTCCGCTCCGCCTCCCGGACCAGCGACCTTAAAGGCGCAGGCCAGCACCCCTCCCGTGCCGCTGGGCAAAACTCGACCGACGCCGACGCTTCTCCTTTAAAGGACCAGCGCGCCAGTCCACCTTAAAGGTGCCAGGTCCCCTCCGCCGCTGCGGACCCAGGACTTGGTCTGGCCGAAGCCTTCGTTCCCCTTTAATCCTCCAAGCCTGCCTTTTCCCACTGACGACCAGTACCGGCTTCCGCTGCTCAGGCTCCACCCCGAGCGGTGGACATGAGCGGCTCGCGGGATCTAACAGCCCTCTTCCCAGCAAATGACAGTGCCCCTGAAGCCCCGCCTCCTCTCGGATTGGCCAAATAACCTTGAGGCGGCCCCTGATTGGCCTTTTCACTCAACCGCTCCAAGTGAGAAAGTAAGGCGGCTTAGGAAGCGCCAATCTTCTCAAGCGCCTAAGGGAAGGCTCAAGGAAGGGTGATGAGGGCGCCCGAGAAGGTGTCCCAGGGCCAGGCTAGTAAGGGCAGACTCGGACCTAACCAAGAACCAGGCGACAGCTGTCGCAGCAGAAAAACAAGGTAAAGACAAGAATACAGTAAGAAAAGAAATTCATTGTTTATTAATGTGTCTGTGTAAAACTTAAAGCATCTGATGTTTTTCTCAAAAGAAACACCACCAAAAGGGGAGGAGCTCAGTCCATCCTTTGCTCAGTCATCTGCCTCTCGCCAACTTCCAACAGCCATCCAAAACATTCCGGAGACAGGAGCGCAGGAGGGAGGCTGCTAATCCGAGTCTGACAGCACGATGATCTCTTCGGGATCGCACTGCGTGGCCACACTCGTCTGCAGAAGTCAGGAGGAAGGAGTTAGATTAAAAACTAGGAAGGTCAAGACAGTGTGGTGGCACATGGGAAAGAGGCAGGCTGATCTGAGTTTGGGGCCAACCTGGTCTACAGAGTTCCAGGACAGCCAGAGCTACATAGAAAAGACCCTGTCTCAAAAACAAAACAGAACTAGGAAGGAGGGCTGGAAAGACAACCCAGCTGCTCTGCAGAGAACCTTGGGTTTGGTACCAGACTCCCATGGCAGCTCTCGGCCTTTCATAACTCCAGTTCTTGAGGACCAGATGCCCTCTTCTGGCCTCCGTGGGCAGCAGGCACAAATGTGGTGCACAGACATACAAGCAGAGAAAGCATCTTTTCACATATAGTAAACCAGTTTTTTTGTTTCGTTTTGTTTAAAACAGGGGTCTCACAAGGCATGGTGGCACAGGCCTTTAATCCCAGCACTCAGGAGGCAGAGACTTGCGGATCTCTGTGAAGGTCAGCCTGATCTTCAGAGTGAGTTCCAGGACAAGTTCCAAACCCACAAAGAAACCCTGTCTCGAAGTGGGGGGAAACAAGGGTATGTAACCTTGACTGGCCTGGAACTCACTCACTATGTAGACAAGACAGTTGGCCTTGAACTTAAGAAATCTGCCTGTCTCTGCCTCCTAAGTGCTGGGGTTACAGGCATGAGACACTATGCTGTGCAAAATAAACCTAAACACAGAGACGCACACACAGGACAGGGAAATGGAGGCGGCAGGTGCAGCACCCACAGAGAGGCAAGGGACAGTAAGAAATGAATTCTCGGGGGGACACAGCAGCCCCAGCTTACCTTATAAATACAAGGTCGGGGAAATGGAGGCTGAGGAGTTTGGGCTCTCAGGGATGGGAAGGGGCTGCAGAGGGAGCTGGTCACCAGGCCATGGCTGGGAGAGTCCACCCTTGTGGAGGAATCAGCAACAGGAGCCAGGGAGGCCAAGGGGGTCCATTCGCTCTTCCCATTTCCCTGCTGAGCTGTTTGCTTCTCTAGGTAGCTAAGGGTAAAGAGAATGAATTAATGAACAGATGGGAAGGGACCTGCGCTGCAGAGGGCCCAGTGTGAACTGGGTCTGCTATCAGAAAGCCCCAGCTCCTTGCCTTCCTTCTTCCTCCGCCTGCTGTTACCTGTCTTCTAATGGTCCAGATCCCAGTTGCTTCTTCTCCTTCCGAGATCTCTTGCAAGGGGGACTGGAATCTTGCCAAGTGTGAGAAGAGACACGCCCATTGAAGGATGTAGAGGTAACCACATCTGCCCCATTTTCCAAGATGGGGGGGAGGGAGTCTTCTGACTGTTTCCTGGAAAAGGAAATGTCCCCTTCCTCAGGGGATGGGGTGGCATCCTCAGGCAAGGCTTCAATCTCTAGCTCAAAAAGCCGGGAGCCAGGACTCTCTTCTTCCAGGAGCTGTTCCCCACTGCTTTCTGCATCCACGCTGGGAGGGTCTGGGGATTCTCCCAGGGGCGAAGCTGATGCTGCTGACCCTCTAAGTCCTTTGTTCCTCTGCTCAGCAGGAGACCTGAGCTCTTTCATTGGTTCAGATGGGGACCTGGGGCCATCTCCTTCATTATCTGGAAAAGAGAGGGGTGGCCTGAGGACTGGGGCAGGGGTGTGTGTGCAACGGAGCTGGGGGGTGGGGGGTGGCGGCCCAACAGAGCAGAACTGACCCAGAGAGCTGTTCTGCTTACACATGTACCTCCTCCTTCCTCTTCTTCATCAGTCCCCTGATCTTCCTGCAACTCTTCTAGATCCTCATCTTCATCTTCAGTGGCCTCTTCCTCCTCTTCCTCCTCCTCCTCCTCACTTTCCTCATCCTCTTCCTCCTCATCAGTCTCCTCAGCTCTGGAGGTAGTAGAGCACTCCTGGGACGCCAGTCCACTAGGACCCTGGGGAACAAAGGAGTCTCTGTAAGGAATCCCTTTTTCCAGAACTCTAGGGAGGCAGGCCACAAATCCCCACCCCCGAGGGAGGACTTGGTTCTTCCCATGCTTCCACACACTGCTCCATGAGCCCTCTGGAAGCCCTGTTGGCCAGGGCAGGGTGAAGACAAGATCTGACAGGTGCTGACCCTTCCATACCTCACCAGAATCCAAGCAGGCTTTGGGGGAGCCTGGAGACCGGGAAGAGGTGCCCAGGAGCCGAGCTCTTCTCTTCTGTCTCTCGTCCTCCTCGCTTCGGTCCTGCATCACTGCATATTTGGAGATGACCTCATCCAGCCGGTTCATGGCCAACGTCCGATTTTCCCGAAGGCGGCGAGCCAACGTGGGATCTGACAGTGCAGGGTCAATGCCTGTGTGAGAAAGCGGGGTCAGAGCGTGCAGCCTCTGTGACCTAACGGACCCTTAGGAGGCATCCCAGTGGCTTCCTACCTGGCCTGTAGTCATCTGTGAGATGGCAGCCAAAGTTGTAGATGAGGTCAAGGTGCCTGCGCTCCTGTAACCTGACACCCACATCCCGGAAGGCATCCTGAGCCATGACCTGGAGCTGCTGCCGGGGAAGGCCCAGATTGTGCCTGGTCGCTGCCCTCTCCACAGCCCTCAGCACATCTCCATAGTCGGGAAAGGCATCCGGCCCTGGCTTGTTGATGAGCCGCTCGATGCGCCTGTTGACCTCTGGGTAGCGGGTGCCGCGGTAAGGGATTCGCTGCTCTATGACCCGGCCAGTCAGAGAAGAGCAGCCCTTCAACTCACACAGCCTCCCAAAGAGGCGGATCAGTTTCCGCTTCAAGCGGGCCTCCTGCATATACGTGGAGTCTGGGTCATCCAGTTCTGAGAGATCCAGCTCCTTCTCCTGCAGCCGCCGTATCTCTGCCACATACAGTGCCAGCAGCTGCTCCAGGCGCTGGATCTGCCTCCGGGAACCACGGGTCCTTGAGGCCTCAGAGGCAGTGTTCTCAGCAGTTGTCAGGTCAGAGGAGGGAGCAGAGGGAGGGTTATCACCAGAGGATTCGCTGGGCGCTGAGGCTGCACAAGCCAAGTTCAGTTTCTTCTTGCTTGAGTGCGCCTTAAGAATAGTGCAGAGCTCGTTAATGTAGACATAGAGCTTAGCTGGCCGGTTCCGAGCCCGAGACAGAACCCGGGACAGGATGTTGCAGAACTCTGCAGAGGCCAGAAACAGAGACTGGGCACGCTGCTGCACTTTGTAGAGGAACGGGACCACCTCAGGGTGGTCCGCTGTCTGCATCTTACACAGTTCAAGGAACTGGAGAGTTCATGGGAACGGTGGGAGACAAGGAAGGCATAAAAAAAAATGGAATTAGTGGGAAAGCCAGAACAATAGCCAATCCAATCCCCTTCCCCTTCCATCTTCCCTAGCAGGTCATAGAGGTTCACACATTTAATCCCAGCTGTCAAGAAGCAAGTGTTCAAGGCCAGCCTCACCTAGACAGTTCCAGGCAGCCAGGGCCACAGAGACCCTGTCTCAAAAACAAAAGGAGACTTCTCAGAAGCTTACCTCTTCAAACAGCCTCTCATTCTCCAGCTTGTAGCACTTTCTGCCACCTGACTGACTGCTTCCTCCATCCCCATGGGACTCAGAGGGACCAGAGGCTTCTGGCCCTGGTGAGACAGGATTGGAGGGCAGGTGGGAGGGCCCCGGCTGTGCAGCTGCTTCATCCTCATCATCATCGTCCAGCACTATGACACTGTCAGCGGCGGCCATGGGGGATCAAATCCCCCTAAGGAGGGAAGGGTTGGGAAGGTCAGAGTTCTGGAAGGGAAGGGGCCACAGGAGGAGCACCTCCTGCAGGGACCCGCCCCATCACGTACCCCCAACTGTCTTCGACAACTACCAGTTTAAAGCAGTTCTGGGGCAAACCTCCCATATAACCTTAAATCCCCACCCTGAACTCCACCCCCCAATTTCCGGTCTCTCAGTTGTGTTTTCCCCTCTCTGTCAGCTGGAAAGTTCTTTCTTACTCCCCATTCCAGTAAAAGGTCCCACGCTGGCCTCTGAGTTTCCCTGACTCTGTCCACAAAAATGAAATCCCCGTCGGTGCCACCTCCGCCCTCAAACACAAAAACGTCTCACTCCGAGTTTTTCCTTTTTGTTTTTCAGGACAAGGATTCTCTGAGTAGGCCTGGCTGTCCTGGAACTCGCTCTGTAGACCAGGCTGGCCTTGAACTGACAAAGATCCCCCTTCTGCCTCCCGAGTGCTGGGATTAAAGGCGTGCGCCACCACCGCCTGGCTTCTGCGAGTTTTTCCCTAACTCCAACTCTTGACTGCCAGGTGAAGCCCAATCAGTCCCCTCTCCCCTCCTACAGCTCTGTCCATGTTCCATCTTCCACTGGGATTCCTCAAACCGGGACTTTAGGCTGGAGATTTCCACCTTAAGTCCCCTGCCTCTCACCGCACCCCGGTCCCCCCCCCCCCCGCCCCATTCTCTTACTCAACCGACAGCGAGCTCACCACCGGACACTCCTGATAACCTGGGCTCCCAGCCGCAGGTGGGGCCAGTCTCCTGGATCAGCTTCCCGCCAAGTGCCCCCTCCCCCAATTCAGCCCTAGGCCGCCTCACTCCTCCTCGGGGCTGGCAAGGTACCATACAGCTTGCCCCTCTAGGCTCGGCACTCAGGTCCGGCCGATCCCTCGCCCTCGCCACTCCTGCCCCGCCAGCCCCGCTCCGCGCACGGCCCGGCCCCCACCTCTGAAACGGTCCCTCGAGGATCCCCTCACCGCGGATCACAGAACCTCGCATGGTTCCCTCCGCCTTCCTTTCGCCCAACCCCCACCGTAGGCCCCACTATGGACCGGAAGCCGTAGAGTTTCCGCCAGCAGCACCTGCGGGCGGCCATGTTGCTGTACGGCACCCAGTCCTCTTGTTAGCCGGAAGCGTCACGTGACCCGCCCACCTAGGACGCCGCTCCCAGTGCTCAGACGCTCAGGGGGGCGGGGCTTTGGTACTCCGGTACGGGGCACGCCATGTTGCCGTACGGCACTGGCCTGGCCTGCACAACCCTCCTCCGGGAAGGCGTGGAGCTCTCTGCACCTGGTGCCTGCCGAGTCCCCCGGACCAGTCAGACCTCCCCGACGCGATCTGGTCGAGGGCGGGTAAGAGCTAACCCCTGCTCCTAGAAGGGGAAGGAAACCCCGCACGGTACCTAAGGAGCTGGGCTCTCTCCACAGCTGTGCACGGCCCCAGGGAACGGAATAAATTTTTTTGCCTGTGCTGGGTTAGTGTAAGCCTGACACTCGCTACCGTGCTCTCTCTCGGGCCCCGGGTTCCCGTCCCTTCCCGAGGCGCCGCGCAGATGGAGGCGGTCAGGGGCGGACGGAATGAGCACAGCACGCCGCGCGAGTGAGTTATTGTTATTATTGCCGTCGGTGAGCGCTGCCCACGCGGCACCACCGACGTGGCGCCCGGCCCTCTGTTTCTCCGGGGGTCATGCTGACCAGAAGGCTGTGCTTCACGGTGGGGTTCGCAGGGCCTGAAGCGGGGCGCGGGACAACCTGGCGCGGGTTGGCGGAGAAGCCGCGTAAACGGCCGCTGGGAGCGCGGAAGATGAAAAGAGGCTCATAAAATCCCTCGGGGCGTCTCCTCCCGGAGCTGCGGAGAAAAGAGGGGCGGGAGACCCGCTGTGACGCCCGCCGACTAGCGAGGCGAAGCCCGCAGCTATGCTGGTGAGGAGGGCGCAAGTTAACACCCCTGGTGCTAAGGTCGCCCCTCTGCCGCCTTCCACGTTCCTCAGGTGGTGGACATCTTGCCTATTCGCGGAACCGAGAAGCCCAGTGGTTCGCAGAGGACCCGAACCTCAAACTCAATAAAAAAAATAATAAAAAAATAAAACACCCCACCTAGCTTCCTGTCCGGCCCTCTGAGCTTATGGCATTTAAATTGGGAAACAGAAAAGTTCTTCAATAGTTAACGGAACTCTAAAGATAATGAAGGATTTAATTTATTTCCATACCCTTGGGTTTCTCAAAATGGGTTTTCCTGAGTGGATTCCTGAAATGAAGGTTCCCCATCTTTTCATAATTGTTTATTTTCTGTCTTATGTCTGTGTGTGAGTGCAGTGGCCTGAGAAGGTGATAAGAGGTTGCTCTCGCAGGTTCTCAGGACCTACATAAAGATTCAATCACCTGTAACCCCGTTCCCAGCCATCCAATAGGCATGCTCGTGATGAACATACGTGCAGGCAGGCAGAACATCCGTACGCACAAAGTAAAATGAATATTTTTAAATTAGTAACTAAGCAAGCTGACGGCAAGTCCTAGGCTGAGGGGACGTGGAAGAAGACGGGATGGAAGGAAGGAAAGCCCAGGACCGTGGGGAAACATCTTCCATGGGAGTGAAGGGGGGGTGTGAGGGAGTAATGGAGGTGAAAACCGCAGGATAAAGTACATAGGAATAATACAAACATGGGTTTGCGCTGTTTGCACACTTCTGTTCTTGCAATAATTGCAGCTACTCAGAACTGCGCGTGTTTCGCCTGCATGTATGTATATACACCCCCGTGTGTCTGATGCTCACGAAGACCAGAAGAAGATGGAGCAGTTGGGGGAAGGGAAATTCCAGAGCTGGAGCGGGTCTGGAAGTTTAGGGAAGAGGTGAGAGGGGCCAGGATGTTAGTAATTGGGGCTTTGAAAGAGATAACAGGTATTTATGGATGAGGACTGTAGGAACCTGGGGGCTAGCGTGGGTTCTGGTAGGCCGAGAGGCACCATGCACACATGTCAATGGAGAGCCATCTGTCCCTTCTTCCAGAGGCAAGGGAAATCAGTCCTCTTTGCAGACAGGAACCTGTTTCACAAATTCTTGAGGAATTCTGACTTTTATCTGTCTGCCAGAAACCCTTCTATAGCCCAGTTTGAGGTGGGCCAAGATGATCACTTCTGGACTTATGCACGGCCTGAGACCAAACTTGTCCCGCTGTCTCAATCCCGAAGCAGTGGTTGAAGAAGCCTAAGTCAGAACACCACAGAGACACCTGCACGTCCATGTTTATTGCTGTAGCGCTCCCAAAAGCCGGAAGATGGATGCGACCTAAATGTCCATCAACAGACAAAGAACTGTGGTACACACACATACACTGGGGTCTTATTCAGCCGTGAAGAAAATGTGACATTTGCAGGAAAGCAGAGGAAATGGAGATCACTCAAGAAAATTAAGCTATATTCAAAAGAATAGATTATCCCTTTTATTCTCTCATATGTGGGAATCTGGATTTAAACTTTATATACCGTATGTATACAGAGGGATGTGTGTGTGTTCATCTGTGTGTGTGCTTGTGTGTGTGTTCATGTGTCTGCTGTGTGTGTGTGTTCATTTGTGTGTATATGCTGTGTGTGTTCATGTGTGTGTATGCTTGTGTGTGTTCGTGTGTGTATGCTTGTGTGTATGTTCATGTATCTGTATGCTTGTGTGTGTTCGTGTGTGTGTATGCTTGTGTGTGTGTTCATTTGTGTGTATATGCTGTGTGTGTTCATGTGTGTGTATGCTTGTGTGTGTGTTCATGTGTGTGCTTGTGTATGTATGCTTGTGTGTGTGTTCATGTGTGTGTGTATGCTTGTGTGTGTTTGTTCGTGTGTAAGCTCATATGTGTAGATTGGAAGGGGAGAAGCAGTCGAGAGGGTGACTCAAGAGAGGGAGATGGGATACAGGTGACAAGAAGCAGCTCAAGACCCTGGGGGGCCAGCAAGGGTGGGCAGCAGAACAGCATGGAGGAGGCAGGTAACACAATGATGTATGTGCCAATATCACAATGAAACAACCCATCACTTGTACACTGACTAAAAAGTTAATTTTTTAAAACTTATAGGGAGCCGGGCAATGGTGGCACACGCCTTTAATCCCAGCACTCGGGAGGCAGAGGCAGGCGGATCTCTGTGAGTTCGAGACCAGCCTGGTCTACAGAGCTAGTTCCAGGACAGGCTCCAAAGCCACAGAGAAATCCTGTCTCGAAAAACCAAATAAATAAATAAATAAATAAAACTTATAGGGAGGGAGGGGGATCCTGGAGGAGTTGGAGGGGGATGTCTGAGAAATGAATATGATCAATATACATTGTATGTGTATCTGAAGTTAAAGGTGGGGGGGGTGGCAGAGGACATGAGTTTGGGTCCCAGGACCCACTTACAGCATCCTGTAACTCCAGCCCCAGGGGATCCAACACCCTCTAGCCACTGGGCGCCCGTGTGCACACAGCCAGAGCCACCACCCACGTGAGCATAAACAGAAAGGAACTTAGAGTGCTGGCCTAAGCTATCCCTCCCACCCCAATCCCTCTGAAGTCTCCTTTTCTCACCTCAGTCGCAAGGACACCGTGTCTACAGGGAGACACTCAGAGTTCCAGCGCCCCTTCCTTCTCGGGTGTCTGCAGGAGCCAGTCCCGAAACGTCGCCCATGGCAGGGGCCACAGCAGCTTGTAAGCAGCCTCCAGCATCAGCAGAGTCAGGAAGAGGACCAGGAAGGTGAGAAAGATCTTGTCCAGAGCACGCCTCAGGGGCCCCCTAGGAGGAGTGGGACCCTGGGCGAAAGCTAGGAACACATCCCCCTCCTCCACACTGCCCTCTTCCTCTGCCATCTTCACCACTGCGAGACAGCTGGCTGGCTCGGTGCCCGTTCAGAAGGCCTGGCTCAGCACTGCCAGGATTAAAGGGCGTGGCTATGATGACCCCGTACCTGATGCCTTTGACCCTAATTCCAGAACTCAGGTAGAAAGGAGAGAAAGGGGGACTGGAGAAATGGCTCAGTGGTTAAGAGCATTGCCTGCTCTTCCAGGGGTTCTGAGTTCAATTCCCAGCAACCACATGGTGGCTCACAACCATCTGTAATGAGGTCTGGTGCCCTCTTCTGGCCTGCAGACATACACACAGACAGAATATTGTATAAATAATAAATAAATAAATAAATAAATAAATAAATAAATATAAAAAAAAGAAAGGAGAGAAAGGTTTTTGAGTTTGGGGCAATTTTTTATTTCTTTATAAGTTTTTTTTTTTTTTTTTTTTTTTTGAGACAGGGTTTCTCTGTAGCTTTGGAGCCTGTCCTGGAACTAGCGCTGTAGACCAGGCTGGCCTCGAACTCACAGAGCTCTGCCTGCCTCTGCCTCCCGAGTGCTGGGATTAAAGACGTGCACCACTACCGCCGGGTTTAAGTTTTACTGCGTGAGCATGCTCTCTCACTCCACCGTTCCCGGGGTCCAGGGATCGCTGCGTGAGCACGCTCTCTCACTCCACCGTTCCCGGGGTCCAGGGATCGTACTCGGAATCAGGCTGAGACGAAAAGCACTTTTGCCTGCTGAGCTAGCTGTCTCCCTAGCCTGATGTCACACTCTATGGTCACTAAGTCCTGTCCAGCTTTACCGTATGTAACTCTGCCTCGGAAACTGAAGAGCCGTTACAGACACTTAAACCGGAATGGACTGGCATCCTGGCCCCTATGTCCAAGCCTCAGTCTAGGGTCTCAGGGTGGAGGAGCCAGCAGCTGTGACAACAGGTTGGATGGGTGTGGCCTCTTCTAACCAGGAGAAGGGTGAAGGAAGGGTGTCTCTAATCCAAGCAGGCTGGTTTCCTCCTGCCCGGTTTCTGTGGGTGGCCCTCAGATTGGGAAACTGAAACCTAAGGCGATTGAGCGGTGCCTGAAATCCCAGCCTGCAGGATGCTGCCGCAGGAGGGTCAGGATTGCTAACGTCTAAGGTGAGTATGTTTGCATAGTCTCAAAACAAAATAAAACAGCAAACCATCTAAGTAATTAAATGAAAATAAGATAAGAGCCCGGCGAAGGTAGCACACGCCTTTAATCCCAGCACTCGGGAGGCAGAGGCAGGCCTCTGTGAGTTCCAGACCAGCCTGGTCTACAAGAGCTAGTTCCAGAACAGGCTCCAAAGCCACAGAGAAACCCTGTCTCGAAAAAACCAAAAAAAAAAAAAAAAAGAAAGAAAGAAAATAAGATAAGAAATCCTAAAAGCAAACAAACAAATGAGCCCCCTGACTTCTGGTCCTGTGGGGGGCGGGAGCGGGGATTTTAATTAGACTTGAACACACTAAAGATGTTTGTAAGAGGAGCTGTGATTGGTCTGATGATGAGTCTTGGGCCACCAAAGGAGGAGGGACGTTTGTGTTGGATTCTAAACAGATCCTTATGAAGCTTGTCTTTGGAGCCTGTGAGTGCAGCTAGTGGGAGGACTTACAGGGGAGCCCTCTGGCACGGAGAAGATGGCCACCAAGGACAGTAGAGGCACCAAGCATCCATCCGAGGGCTCACGTTTTAGTCTCATGCCCAAGACTGAGGAAGCAGGGTAGGTCTGAGGTAAGATAAGAGGGAGTTATGGGGACATGGGTCAAGAAAGGTGCCCTGTGCCAGGAGGCTGGTCAGGGTCTCTCAGCTGAGCGAGGTTTCCAGCACGGTCAGCAGCTTGGAAGGACTTGACTTTCTCCGTAGTTTTCGGGGTCTCTCCTGGAACCTCTGTGCAATCCTAGTGGGCCCTGGTTTGATTTTATCGTCTTAAACCCTGTCCAGGGCACCCCGTAGTCCCACTCGTTAAACTGATGGGAAGGTGCCCCGCATGGTGGCATGGTGGCACCCACCGCTAAGCTCAGCACTGAGAGGCAGAGGCAGGCGGGTCTGTGTGGAAGTGAAGATCAGCGTGTGCAGAATCGAAATGTGTTCTCGATGTTTTGTTTTGGTTTTCTTTTTCGTTTTCTTTTGGTTTTCAAGACAGGGTTTCTCCTTATTCCTGTCCTGGCTCTCCTGTAGACCAGGCTGGCCTTGAACTCACAGAGATCGGCCTGCCTCTGCCTCCCAAGTGCTGGGGTTAAAGCGTGTGTCCCCACTGCCCAGCTAGAATCTAAACGAACCTAATTTTAAGTTCTGATTTCTTTTTTTTTTCTTTTTCTTTTTCTTTTTTTTTTTTTTTGGTTTTTCGAGACAGGGTTTCTCTGTGGCTTTGGAGCCTGTCCTGGAACTAGCTCTGTAGACCAGGCTGGTCTCGAACTCACAGAGATCCGCCTGCCTCTGCCTCCCGAGTGCTGGGATTAAAGGCTTGCGCCACCACCGCCCGGCTTTTTTTTTTTTTTTTTTTTGCTTTTTCAAAACAGGGTTTCTCTGTGGCTTTGGAGCCTGTCCTGGAACTAGCTCTGTAGACCAGGCTGGTCTTGAACTCACAGAGATACACCTGCCTCTGCCTCCCGATAGCTGGGATTAAAGGTGTGCGCCACCATCGCCCGGCTGTAAATTCTGATTTCTGGGTTGTATCTCCTTCCTCTTTTTCTCTTTTCTCTTTTGTTTGTGTTTGTATTTGTCTCGAGACAGGGTTTCTCCATAGCTTCAGAGGCTGGCCTTGTGCTCACCACGCAGCCCATGCTTCCGGCTTTCACCGTGGCAGAGAAACAACCCTCGTGAGGCAAGAAGGCAGTTCGGCTGAATACAACCCCGTGGCAGATGTTGTTCAAACTCCTGGAGTGGTTTATTTCCTGCATATTTAAGCAGAGCCCAGTTTGGTGAACATTATCCTGGTGATAATTAGCTCAGTCCCACTTTCACAACAAAGCTACATACATCCCCTTGAGAAACAAAGTAACCAAATAGAAAGAAATATTGAAACTCTTTGTAAAATCAGGTTCTGTAGATTGACTTAGAAAAATAAATTTAAAGACGGATCTCTGTGAGTTCGAGACCAGCCTGGTCTACAGAGCTAGTTCCAGGACAGGCTCCAAAGCCACAGAGAAACCCTGTCTCGAAAAAACCAAAAAAAAAATTAAATAAATAAATTTAAGATAAGGGTCTGTGGAGGATCCGGTGCCAGAAAGATCTTTAGTCACGCATACAGCGCCAAGTGTACTAGGCCAGAGGACAGTCCACTGCAGACTTCTGGGCAGACACAGGTATTTCACAGAACCGTGTGCACTTTAACATTCCGGGGTCCCTGGTGCTTATCTGTGCGCACAAAGACTTCTGTGCTTTATTTAATTCAGAGCAATCCCTCTGCCTCCTGAGCATTGGGATTAAGTATTCAGGGAAGTGTGGTACTTTCAGTTTTATTTCTTGGAACAAGAGCTACAGATATTTTTCAAATGATAGTTGTTCTGTTGTCTAGTAGTTCATCCCTTAAACATGTAATGAATTTGGGTTGTTTTCCAGAAAGCCCTGGATTTAATACTTTGCAAGAAATCAGCTGGGGGGAGGGGGAGGTCCATGGATCCCAACCCTGGAGAACTGGGGAGCCACCAGGAAGAAATTCAAGGTCAGCCTGGGACACTGGGGATCTTGTCTCAAATAAACAAGCAGGGTGGGGCCCCTCTTTGGCCCCAGCCCTCAGGAGGCTGAGGACTACCTGTGAATTGGAGAACAGCCTGGTTAACACAGAGTTTCAAAACAGCCAGAGCTACATAGTGAGATCTTGTCTCAAAAATTAAAATAAAGTCAGAAAAGCGGCCGTATTACCCCACCCTTCACTTCGTATCTTAAAATCAAACTTTTTTCGGGGGTGTGTGTGTTGTTATTGGGTTTTTGTTGTTGTTGTTGTTTGATTGTTTTTGTTTTTTTTTTGTAACCATTTCTCTGTGTAGCCCTGGTTGTCCTGGAACTCACTCTGTAGACCAGGCTGGCCTCGAACTCAGAGATCCACCTGCTTCTGTCACCCTAATGCTGGGATTAAAGACTTGCTCCACCACTACCCAGCAAAATCAAACCTGAGAGCTGTGGGGCTTGCACCATGATTCACCCCAAACGTAAGGCTCCGGAAAGAGAGGGGCAGGGAGCAGAAGGGCTTGGGACCCAAAGAAACCTTAATGTTAATGGGTCCATGGTCCGGGAATCAGTCCAACTGACGGCAGCAGCTGTGGCTTCTGCTTCCCTGGCCCCCTTCGTGGTGGATCCATTGTGTGATGCCAGCTACCTTCACAGCGTAGGAGTGGTGAGAATCATCGTGTCGGGCCCGTTCCAAGCGGGTTTCAGTCCCCTTTGGCCACCTGCTCACTTGACCCAGATGGTATCATTGGACTCGAACAAGGGGACACTTGTGGTGGACATTGTTGGGTCCAGGGGGGTCGCCCACAGATGAGAACACTACCAAGTCTAGTAAACCAGAAGCAAACTTTATTCCAGAAACCAGATCCCAGGAAAACCAGAAGCAAACTTAAAAAAACAAAAAACAAAAAAACACTGTGGGGCCCAGAAGCTTATCAACTAGCTGAGACCACAGCCAGAGATACGTTTGTTAGGCTATGGCAAAAGGCCGTCTCTGAACCCACTTTTTATAGTAGGGGCACCAAGCATTAGGTCTGAACAAAGGAATTTTTACGATCTTGCCCTGACCTGTGGGTCAGTCAATGTAGACCCTAAGGAGGGGAGTGAGTGCTAATGTCAATGGGTAACTAGGAAGCCATCATGAAATATGTTTCAGAGTAGATTACAGCGAAAGTCACTAATTGCAAGAAAACAGATATCTTTAGCAATTAGTCAGAAAAGGGACTGCTAGTAATACCAGGAGGTTAATAAATTAGAGTTGATTGGTTCTTAGGCTGGGAACTTAGAAGATAGCAGAAAGTTTTTCACACTATCTCAAGGTAAAACTCAGATACC